ATTTCTGGGTTTTCTATTGAGTTCCATTGATCCATGTGACTGTTCTGGTTCCAATACCATGCAGTTTTGATTATTATGTCTTTGTAATATAGTTTGAAATCTGGGAGAGTGATGCCTCCATTCCCTTCTTTTTTTTTTTTCAGGAGGGTTTTGGCTATTCGGGGTTTTTGGTGGCTCCATATGAATTTCATCAATATTTTTTCTATTTCTTTGAAGAATGACATTGAAATTTTAATTGGAATAGCATTGAGTCTGTAGATTGCTTTTGGTAGGATGGCCATTTTGATAATGTTAATTCTTCCTATCCATGAGCAGGGGATGTCTTTCCATTTCTTTGTGTCTACTTCTATTTCTTTTAACAGTGTTTTATAGTTTTCTTTGTATAGGTCCTTTACTTTTTTGTTAGGTTTATTCCCAAGTATTTGATTTTTTTTTTGTTTCAATAATAAACAGAATGATTTTCTTGATTTCTTCTTCTTCAGATTTATTGTTTGTGTATAGGAAGGCTGCTGATTTTTGTGCGTTGATTTTGTATCCTGCCACTTTACTAAACTGATTGATTAGTTTAATTAGTTTTTCTATGGAGTTTTTGTGGTTCTCTATGTATATTATCATATCATCCACAAATAGTGATAGTTTTACTTCTTCCTTGCCTATTTGGATTCCTTGTACGTCTTTCTCTTTTCTTATTGCTCTGGCTAGGACTTCCAGTATTATGTTGAAAAGCAGTGGTGAGAGTGGACATCCTTGTCTTGTTCCAAATCTTAATGAGAATGCTTTCAGCTTTTCACCACTGAGAATGATATTGGCTGCGGGCTTGTCATAGATGGCCTTTATGATGTTGAGATATGTTCCTCATATCCTGAGAATTTCAAGAGCCTTTATCACAAATGGGTGTTGTACTTTGTCGAATGCTTTCTCAGCATCTATGGATATTATCATATGGTTTTTATATTTCTTTTTGTTGATGTGTTGGATTACATTGATTGGTTTTCAGATGTTGAACCATCCTTGTGTCCCTGGAATAAATCCTACTTGGTCATGGTGAATCATCTTATGGCTGCATTGTTGGATTCTGTTGGCAAGGATTTTGTTGAGGATTTTTGCATCAGTGTTCATTAGGGAGATTGGCCTGTAGTTTTCTTTTTTTGTGCTGTCTTTGTTGGGTTTTAGTACTCGTGTAATGATGGCTTCGTAGAATGTATTTGGTAGTATTCCTTCTTTTTCAATTTTTTGAAAGAGTGTGTAGGATAGGCACTAATTCACTGCTGAACGTTTGGTAGAATTCATTTGTGAAGCCGTCTGTGCCTGGGCTTTTGTTTTTGGGGAGTGCTTTGATTACTGCTTCAATTTTGCTGCTTGTATTGGTCTGTTTAGTTGTTCTATTTCTTCTTTGTCCAGCTTTGGATGATTATATCATTCTAGGAATTTGTCCATCTCTTCTAGGTTGTTAAATTTGTTTGTGTATAAGTGTTCATAGTAATCTCTTATTATTCTTTTGATTTCTACTGAGTCTTTTGTGATTTCTCCTCTTTCATTTATAATCCTATTTATATGTGTTTTCTCCGATTTTTTCTTTGTGAGCCTTGCTAGAGGTTTGTCTATTTTGTTTATTTTTTCAAAGAACCAACTTTTGGTTTCATTGATCTTTTGGATTCTTTTTTTAATTTCTAATTCATTTATTTCTGCTTTGATTTTTATTATTTCTTTTTTTTTCTACTGGGTTTAGGGTTTTTTTGTTGTTGTTCTTTTTCTAGTTCTTTGAGATGTGAGGTTAGGTTGTTTCTTTGAGTTCTTTCTTGTTTGTTGATGTGAGCCTGTATTGCTATATATTTTCCTCTTATTACTGCTTTTGCTGCATCCCATACATTCTGGACAGTGGTGTCCTCCTTATCATTCAGCTCAAAGTATTTTCTAATTTCTTCTTTGATCTCCTCATTAGTCCAGTGGTCTTCCAGTAGTGTGGATTTCAATCTCCATGAAGTGGGAAGGTTCCTTGTTTTCTTTTCATGATTTATTTCTAACTTGATGCCTTTATGATCAGAGAAGATAGTTGAAATGATTTTGATTTTCATGTATCTGTTGATGTTTGTCTTGTGGCCCAGTATGTGATCAATTCTGGAGAATGATCCATGCGCACTTGAGAAAAATGTATACTCAGGTTTTTTTGGGTGCAGTGTCCTATAGATGTCTGTTAAGTCCATGAGTTATATGTCTTTATTTAGGGCTCTAGTGTCTTTGTTTATTGTTTGTCTTGTTGATCTGTCCATTGGTGAGAGTGGGGTGTTGAAGTCTCCCACTGTATATGTATTTTCTTTAATATCTGTTTTCGGAGCTCATAATAATTGACTAATATATTTTGGTGCCCCTTCATTTGGTGAGTATATGTTGATGAGTGTTATATCTTCCTGATGTATTGTCCCCTTGATCATAATGTAGTGTCCATCTATGTCTCTTTTTACTTTTTTTAATTTGAAGTCTATTTCATCTGATATAAGTATGGCTGTTCCTGCCTTCTTTTTTGGTCTATTTGCTTTTAAGATTGTTTTCCACCCTTTTACTTTCAGTCTGTGTTTATCTTTTGTGGTTAAATGTGTTTCCTGAGGTTGGATTTTGTTTTTTAATCCATTCTGCTACTCTGTATCTTTTTACTGATGAGCTTAATCCATTTACATTTAGAGTTAATATTGATATGTTGGCATCTGTGTTTGCCATTTTGCTTGTCTTTTTTGTGATTTAAGCACCTAAATATTTATCAAATGAGGGATTATGTTATAGTATTTACATAATGAAATAGTATGCAATAGTTAAAAAGTCAATCAGAGTGTGTGGACAAATCTCTCACAAACTATTGGGGAAAATTCAGAGGTATATACATATTATAATACCATTTATATAGAAACCATATGCCATTTATGGATCCATATTGTATAATAAAATAACATAATTTTCAAGCACATTTTTAAACATCAAGACATGATAAAGGTTACCTCTGAGGAAGTATGTAAATGGATGGGGCGATAAACAAATAGAGAAGGATAAGCAAAGAGATGAAATGTTAAGATTTGATACTCTTGAGTGATAACTACATGGATCTCATTAAATTAGATGCTATACTTGTCTGTATACTTATGATTCTTCATTGTAAATAATTTGAAAATAAATTTCAAAACATGTTCCAGAAATGAGGAATGAGATAGGTATTTGTGTGTATATTATTTGAATTTCTTATCCATAAGAATATGTGGAATCCTCTTTAACTTCTGTGATATGTTCTGGATCTTTCTCATGGGAAAATCCTATAAAACAACCATATTATAAGAAACCACTACTTTAATAAAAACAAGCTTAAAGCTTAATGTCATTTCCCATCTGTTAGTAAGTTAAAATGGCTAAATATGGGCCTCCCCGGTGGCGCAGCGGTTGAGCGCTGGGTTGCGAAGCTGCCCGCGGCCTCTGCGGCGCCGGTTCGATCCCCGGCTGCTCCCCGGCCACCGGAGGAGGGTCCCACATGGCGTGCAGACTTCTCCTGCCGCCCGCTGCTCCCCTCAGCAGTGTACTTCGGTCCTTCTGCCTGCTCTGCTCCCCGCTCTGGCTCTGGTGAATTCTCTCACCCTCCCGCGCTTCTGACTGTACCCAGTGCATGTATAAACAAAACAAACAAACCAGCAAACAAATAAATAAAGCATGCCTCTATAAAAAAAAAAAAAAAATGGCTAAATATTATGGAGAATCTGAAAATTAATTTATTTTATTTTACATTTTCAATGTTCACATTATGAAAACTACTTGGAATTGGTTTGTAAATGTCATATGCTGTGTTGAAAGTAAAAAAATATATAAGCATTTTATTTTTACTTAAATTTAAAAAAAAATGCCAAACAGTGAAGCAATGAATCTTAAGTCTAGTATTGTGCAAGAGCCTGTCATGAATAATTGTAATTTTGCTGTTAAGTTTATCTTATTTGACATAGTTCATTATTTTCACCATGAGTATGATATCTGGAGTTTGAAGAATATTTTGTATTGCTATTGACTCATCCTTCCCCCTTGCCAGCAGATATTTTTCTGCTTCTGAACAGTTGGAACAGATCATACTGGGCTTGTATAATAGCACCTTAATTTTGTTAGATATGATTTAGTTCAAATGTTTAGAAAGAAATTTTGCCATATTAAGTTTGAGTGGCTTTTTCCTTAATTTATAAAAGAAAAACTATAAACTTGACTGTTTTACATTGTTTGTTTTTATAATTTTCCATGGAAGGCATGCCATAAAATAAAATTATGACAATTGAGAGATAGTCTAGGTACCAGGATTATGTAGCAGTCTAGCATATGTTTGGGTTTCTTTAGTGGTGAGACCGTTTTTATTGCAGAGAATAGATGGGTTTAAATGGCAGGAGCATGACTAGAAAGTGCACATTATATATGTTTCAGTCAGCATGTTGCTAGTGACAGGTGCTCAATGGTTGTTGGTATCCTTGTCAGCAAAGAGAATCCTCTGACATTAAAGTCACCAGCTCAATCCTGATTTGGGGTGACTCTATTGGCAGTTCTATCAGGATGCAGCTGATCAGTGAATGTCAGAGGTACCGCTGTTCTTCAGAGTGTCACCAGCCCTCTGTGGGTTTTCTTTTTTCTTTGGGGGTGGGGTGTGTTTAGCTTGTCTTGTTGTTTAGTCCTAACCAGACTTTCAAATTGCTTTACCATTGGGAAATGAACTGAGAGGTCATAGGGAATGTAGGTATCTTTAGGGCATGCAAACCATATACAAAGTGACAACTTACATGGAGACTAGTAATGATTACCTTGACTCCAAGCCAATCAATGGTGGGAGCACCTGGGGACTCATTAAATGGCATTTGTGGTGTCTGTAACCCAAGGTTTTGAGCTCTGTTTCAGGAAAAGCAGTGACAGCCTTTAATGTCTAATTGACCTCTTCTCTTTTTTTCACTTTCTTTCACTTTCCATATTTTCTTTGATGTGGTCCCTGTTGGCAGCAAACAGCACTGCTCAGCATTTTGAACTTCTGTTCAGAGCTTCAACACCTCAGTTTGGGTAGTTGTGTAATGGTAAGTACTTGAAAATTCTATGTACTCAATTGCTTATTCTCTTTCTTTACATGGGTTAATTTTAATTTTATCTGACCTATCCCTTTCCCTCCCCTCACAGCTATTGTGATTTATGGTTTACTAAGGTAGACCCCACAATTAAACATTTTTTTTCAAATTGGAAAGTATGCCTTAGAAGCACTGGCATTATTTATCTGTGAGTATATTGTGATGGAAAGAGTTTGGTTCTGTCTCAAGCCAAATGGTTATCTCAAACAAGCTATTCACCTCTCTGGGTTTCTTTACAAAATAGGATGTCTGTCATACGCATGTGTCAGTAGTTCATTAAGTTTTTCACAAAGTCAATTTTAGTTTTTAAGTTCTTAGATTATTTCCTGGAAATGCTAATGTTAGTAGGTAGGTTTATTTTGTTTCTTTTTTTGAGTTTTACATTCCGTACTGGGTAAAATTAAAAGAGGGATAACCTGTGTTGGAACTTGAATATTTTATGAAATTTTACTGGTCCATGAAATCCAAAAGCCTAGGGACTGTTGGACTAGATAACCTTTAAAGTCCTTTCAGATTTAAAATTATGATTTTATGTGACATTAAAAGAGCTCATGGGGGGCCTCCCTTGTGGCGCAAGGGGTTAAAGTACTGCACTATGAAGCAATCCACGGCCTCGGCAGCATGAGTTCGATCCCCAGCCGGCCAGAGAGCAACCCACATGGCAAGGCGGACTTCTGTCTTGTCTGCTGCTCCCCTCAGCAGTGTATTTCAGTCAGTCTGCCTGTTCTCTTCCCTCTCTGTCTCTGGTGAATCCTCTCACCCCTCACATCTCTGGCCTGCACCCCAGCTCTTGTATGTATAAATAAATAAATCTTTTTTTAAAAATTTTAAAAAAATTAAAAGAGTTCATGGGGCAAGTTAGAACTTTTCATCTAAATTACATGATTTATAAATAGGACTGACACTCAGGGAAATAGAACTCTTATTTGTGTGTGCGTGTTTGTGAACATGTGTGTACGTACATACACTCACAGTATAGCTGTGGAGCAAGACCTTTCTCTTTCCTCCCAAGGCAGCTTCAGGTGATCCTAAACTATTCCAGTTTTTGTTCATTTATTAGGAAGATCTGAATAGGTTGCAAGATTCCAGAGAAGTATTCCTAGTATCCTATGCTTGGAATCAAAATTCATGGTCCCTGACCTAAAATAGAGCCCATTTGAACATCTTTTAGAATTCAGCAGTGATGTCAGTGATACCTCATGAGTTGGCAGTTTAGGCTAGAGAGGACTGTTATAATGACACTTTGTCTCCAAGTCCCTATGGTTTTTAATCATTGTGGTTAGGTCTGATGAAACCCCAAGTATGGACTCAGACCCAGCCCATTCTCTGGAATCAATATCAGGGGTCTACTAAGTCAACACTAGGTTTTCTTCTAGTCAGATTCTTGCTTAACTAAGTCATTTCATGGACTCCCATTGGGTCTTTCTAGTGGAAGAGAAGAACCCCAGTGAAATTCAGTGGCAGATTCTGTGACAACAAGACGACTAATTGCTGCCCCTGGATCTTTGCTTATGGCTAGCCTGCCCTGTTTAGATTGGCAAGGACCCTGTTTAACTTTGGCTAGAGGGACATTATCATACTTTGTCATTTACCTCCATTTAAACTGAGCAACAGTTTAAATAGACCTCTGACCACAGACACTTTAGAGTTGGAATTATATGTGCATATATATATATATATATATAATTTTAATTAGCTATATTTTAAGTGATAATTTTCCAGTGTTGACCCATGGAATATTAGTCCTGAAAGATATTTAATTAGAAAAAGGTTTATATGGAAACAATGGAGAAGGGAATAGAGACCCCTGGCTGAAACTAAGAAATGATGCTACTCTGTCTTCTTCTTGGAGTTTTCAGTGGAATTGTACAACAAAGAAACTGTTGCCTTTGCTTAAACTAATCTTTTCCAACTTCTCCTGACTGCTGAACCCATCTTCAATATTGTATCCATGAATATGTAATATAGTATGGTATGGGAAATGCTGCTTTAGATAAATAGGCTACTTTTAAAGTATATAGTTAACAGTAAAATATTGTCACCATCGATATTAGTTTGCCAAGAAATGAAGTATAACATTGAAGTTCAGAAATACTAATATTGCCATTACTTTCATCCCTGCCATGGAGTACTGTCCTCACAGCAGGTCCAGGTTCACCAGGACAGTAACATACACACACACCTCTTGGTGGATACTTTGGTTGATACCATGTTTACCTCAGTTTCTTTCCTGTCAGTTGACCAAAAGGCAGGGTGATTCACTTAATAGTTTATTTTTGACAATAAAAATAATAGCATTTAAAAAGTTTTTAATTTTTTATTTTCTAAAAAAGTGAATTGGCTGCTCTGGCAAAGCTACAGTTTTATGTTGTTCAGGTACACTCACTAAAGTCAGTAGTTGTCTCCCCAAACCTGTTTCTCATGTTTTTCTCCATGATTTTACTCTACACAGCTGGCACATAACTAGAACCTTATGAATCACCACTATATATAATCCATCAGCCCCTTGGTTCTGACTCAGAGCCCCAAATCTGTCCATTTCTCCAATTCCACTGTTATTACCTTAATCCAAGCCCCTGTCATCTTCCTTGTAGGCTAGTGCAGGCCTCTTCACTTGACTTTCTCCTCCACTCTTGCCTGCTTTACACCATTCCCAGACAGAAGCCAGAAGAGTTTTTGTTTTTATTTTAATATGAATTATATTTGTTATAAACCCTGCATTGATTTTCTTAGCCCTTAAATAAAAACCCAAACTCTCTCCTAGCCGAGTAGCCGGGCCCTTGTGTGACTTTGGCCCTCAGCACCTGTCCTCACCACTCTTGAGCTTTACCAACCTTTTTTCTTTGAATGTGACAAACTCATTCCTGGAGATGCCAACAACCACCATTTACCTCCTCCCTCAACTACTGACACTCCGATGGCTCTCACATTAACTGTTTTATTGTTTTCACACCACCTACCACGCTCTGAATTTATTTTGCTCATTTACTTGTCTGTGTTTCCCCCAAATGTGAATAGTCTTTGTTGTTTTGATTTTCTGTTGTTCCTAGCATCTAGAGTGGTGCTGGCACACAATAGCTGAAAACATGAATAAACCAGTGAACAAAGGGAATAATCATAGAAAATGTATGCTATTTTGTTCCCTTTTTACTTGGTAGTAATTTTGATGCCTGATTATAACAAAATCAAATGAACCTCTTAAAAGAACCTCTATAAAGAAATATTAAACATATAGGCCCACAAACTGAAATATTTAATAATCCTTGACTAGTAGAGACCTCGCTTGTGATCATGAGGTAAATCATTGGACACTCCATTAGCAACATAATTTAAATTATTTCCATGCTGTATATTCAGTCCCCAAATGCATTACTTACACCCAAATTAATATCCTTATCAGTACTACCTATATTCACATGCTATTTTAGAACCTAGCAAAGTTCATACCTTTCTCAGGGAGCTCTTATAGACCCACCAAAGTTTTTTAGCCAAATATAAATAGAAGTAACTAGGCCCTGTCAAGAAGTAGCAGCAGCAAGGTCAAAATGGGTGGCTACAAGGACGCCACACAATCTTCAAATTCTTCATGAGAGACTGAGGATTTCAGACTGCTTTGGGATTTCATTCATTAATGTCCTCTATCTGGAGCTTCTGTTAAATGGATTTTTAAATAAGTGATTACTCTTGCTGTTTTATGAAACAGTGGCAGATCTGTGAGATGAGTGGGCAGAGCTGTGTTAATGAGAATGTGGGTATGTTTACAGGGAAGCAAACAATAGGAGGTGATTAAGATTGTTTAAACTTGCTCTAAACAGTTTGCATTTCTGAGCAGATGTAAAAGATTGGAATTGTTTGATTTCCAGATTGAAGATTATGATGTGATAGCTAGCATGATAGGAGCCAAGTGTAAAAAACTCCGTACTCTGGATCTGTGGAGATGCAAGAATATTACTGAGAATGGGATAACAGAACTGGCTTCTGGATGTCCACTTCTGGAGGAACTTGACCTCGGCTGGTGTCCTACACTGCAGAGCAGCACTGGCTGCTTTGCCAGACTGGCACGCCAGCTCCCAAACTTGCAAAAACTCTTTCTTACAGCTAACAGGTCTGTGTGTGATACAGACATTGAAGAATTGGCATGTAATTGTACCAAATTACAGCAACTGGACATATTAGGTAAGGATACAATATATAAATTTGTTTTAAGGTCTATTTCCTTGACATAAAAGCTAATCTCAGACTTTTTGCAAGGCAAAAAAGGAACTTCTTGAATACAATAAAAATTTTGTCCTGATAAGACCACTTGGTTTGGTAGGAAGTGCAAGATAGGTTAATTGATATGTAGAGTAATTATATATGTGCTTAAGTAAAAGAGAGGGGACAATGACAGAAATATACAGTTGAACCTTATCAGAAAGCTCTAAGTAACCATTCATTTTTGTTCTATTAAGAATAGTGAGAATTTACATGAACTGTCGTTCAGTTTTATTAACATCAGATGAGAAGTTAGTCTATTTGTATAACAAATTCAGGATAATCCCACCCCTCCTTCCAGCCCTGATAATTCTAGCTTTTAGGAATAATTTTACCTCAAGGTATTTCCATTGAAGATTTTTTTTCAGTTCTGAAATTCCTTGTGTCCATATTGCAATTTATCAACCAGGAACCCTATAAAATTTTGGTTCTTCTTACTTTAGCCAGAAGTCAGTTGCCACACAGTTGGCACTTTGTGAGCACCAGCTCTGTGTTCACTGGTCATCTGTTAGTACTAGTAGACTAGTCTATGAACTGCTAAGTTGGTCCATAGAATAATTGTATCCTTTCCTGTTTATTAATTGTATCCTTTCCTGTATCCTTTCCTGTTTATCCTTACAACAAAAGGAATACCTGAAAATTTCTTCATGTTAATGATACATTTATAAATGTTAATTATGTAGTTGCATATTACTCATTCAATGAGTAGGCAATGAATGAAAGAACAAAGAGATGACGGTTAAAAAATTAGCTAAAAAATTAGGGAGAAATTCCCGTACAGATTGGGCTAGGTACTTCATCTGTGTTATACATTCCTTGCTCGCCATTGCTCAGGGAGTTGGAGATCATTGTCTTTTCATAGACATGGCTTCTGGACTCAGCAGTTAATATATAGCGAACAGCATGGGTTCAAACCCAAGGTTTTTGGCCCTATGGTCAATGCTGTTTTTTCATAACACCACACACTCTTGCCATGCTTATTTCTTTTCATTTATAACCACCTTCCCCCTTGAATTACCCTGAACCTTTTATAAAAGAAATATTATGAAAAGTCCCAGGAAAAATCATGAGTTCTTAGGGAGACTGAGAATGGTTGGCCATGACCTTTAAAATGAACCAGTAATTACATCAGGTTTCACTTCAGAGGATGGAGTTATTGTTGACTACAATCTATTTTACAACTCCCCTCCTCCTTTCAACAACAAAAAAGGTCCTACACTAGAGATGGAGAGTAGCTGGTGTCTGAGGGTGATGTTACAGAATCACAAAGAAGCACTTATCCTAAAACAAAAGCACAATAATGGTGAACTTGGGGGTAAGGAAGGCTGGTTGCCAGGTCACCTAACTTCAATCTCTAAATGTTTGAATTACTAAATGTATGAATTACTAAAAAAAAATAGATAAGTATAAATGATTTCTCTTTGAAAACATTGGTAATTTTCATAAACCTAAGTACAAAGAAGTATTATGTTAAAACTAATTATAGATGGAACACGGCCATCATACAAATATATTGGAACATTTTATTTCAAATATAAAGAGCACAGTAAAATAACAATAAAAATAAGAATAAATTAATAAGGTTCCAAACCAGAGTAATGGTTCTGGGAAATTAACCATCATCTCTTTGTTCTTTCATTCATTGCCTACTCATTGAGCATGTACTGTGTTAGGCATTCTTTTAAACAGTGGGGTATAGTAGTAAACAAGATACATAGGTCCCTGCCTGAAGGAGTGCGCTGATTGAAAACATGATTTTGTCATGAGTGGATAACAAAACAAAAGCACAAATTACTCTGGAAGCTAAGAGAGGGGGCCCCAGTCTAGTTCAGTTTAGTCTCTCACATCCTTCCCTAGCATTCCCTCAGGCTTGAGAAATGCCTTTATCAGGAAACTTATTATAATGACCAGCACTGACAAATAGGAAACAATCACAACCCTAGATGACAAACAACAGATTCTGCTTAAGGTTCTCTGATCGTACATATCAAGATCAACCACACCTGCTTAATGGTGTGGTTACATACATCTGAAGAGGTGTGAACCTATACCCCTAAAACACATACAGTGTTTTAAACCAGTGTTACTACAATTAAAAAAAAAAAAGCCCATTTGAGTTAAGTTATGCATAAGAAGAAGGAAATTACTATAAAGATACAGGTATCGCTCTCAGATCCCATGAGTAGAAGCTGGCTATGGTCAGACCTCAGGAGGAACTAGAAAAACATCACAAAGCAGAAAGCTGTTTCCTTCCTGCATCTTCAGGCACTTTTCCCCTGCCTGCCTCTCCACCCTCTGCCACTATACATGCTCACAGACCTTGAGAATGCTTTGGTTTTGTCTTGTTCTTTCTTGTCATATTTGCTACTTCTGCTTCTCTGGGTACCTATGGCCAAATACAACAACCCCAACCCAGTTTTCCATGTCTTTAGTTCAAGGCCTCTACGGATCCTGAAAGTTTCTAGTTCTCCCCACTATCTGAAAATACAGTGTTCCTGTTGGGTATGACTTGGTGGGTTATTTTTTGTGTCTGGAAATACTCAAAAATATTTCCATTTGAATTGGCAGTGATAAGATTCCCAAAAACAAAAAATAGCTTGCCAAGTTATATCCAAAAGGAATGTTCTACTTTCAGATAGCACAGGGTTTGGGAAGGGGGAAAGGAGGAAACCTATACTGAATTGGGGCCACTCACAGATAGGGGAGCAATATAGTTTATAGCATAATTTATAGCTTCAGGACCCCATGGTGGGGGTAACAATCTTTAATACCCATCCTAGTAGAAGGGCATATGTAATGCAATTGTGATTTTTTTTTCCCCCCAGAAAAGCTATAATTAAAGCAAGGTACAATTTATAATAGATTCCATCTTAAAGCCTAGTGATACTTGGTATTTGAGTGCCTGACATGTGTCAGGTGCTTTACATATTTATATAATTTAGCTCATCTGAATACCCCATAATCACTTTTAACATAGACTAAATAGAACTCATCATCTGTCATCGGTCTTTCAGTAATACCATTTTTTTGTCCACCTTTTACTATAAAACCATGTTGTAGTTATTTGTTTTCAACTCTGGTCAGTGAGTTCCTTAAGGCAGAAAAGTGTTTTATTTATCTTTATATCTTTACTGCCTAAAACAGAAGTGTCTACAGGTCAGTTTCTTAGTAATTGTATCATTTGAATTAGAGGTTGAATCATTGTAAGTATTGCTGCCTGTTTTGACCCATAGGTTAAGGAAAATGAGATGTGCAAACCTTTTGAACTGGGGTGAGAGAAATAGAAAATTCTGGATGAGTTGATTGGAAAGGGTAGAAGGTGAGAATGAAGATAGGGAGTAGAGTTTTGATAAAATTGAGGTCCTAGATGTCAGACTGGCTGGGAAAATTCAGTTTATCTTTTTTTTACAGGATTATTTCAATATGAATTTATTTTTAAGAAATGTTTTTAATTATTAAATGGCAATTCAAGTGTATTTCAAATAATGAATAATAATGAACCCTTTATCAGGGCATTCTATAAATGATATATTCAAGATGTTTTGTTTTGTTTTAAACAGGAACAAGAATGGTAAGTCCGGCATCCTTAAGAAAACTCCTGGAATCATGTAAAGATCTTTCCTTACTTGATGTGTCCTTCTGTTCTCAGATTGATAATAGAGCTGTGCTGGAGCTCAATGTGAACTTTCCAAAAGTATTCATAAAAAAGAGCTTCACTCAGTGACTTAATATATGTTCTGTAATAGAATTAATGTGCTTTTGCAAGCTCTTATTTTGGGGTTGGACTTGTTCAGTCCTAGGAAGACATTTGTAGATTTTAAAGAAATATATGAATTTTTTCATTGAATCAAGTAAAAATGTCAAGAAATGTTTTCACAAAATGTTACAAGCACTTTTCTTCAAGAATGTGTGAGTGGCTGATAGTATTTTTACCTTATGTTAATCAGTGATGATATGCTTTAGTCAGTAATTACATGTTTAGCAAAAAGAGTAATATGGAACTGTTTTAACTTATTTTTAAAGGAACACTGAGCAATAAACTATCATGATATTTATGCAAAAAATAAAATTAATTTTTCATACATCCATGTAAGGACGTCTTATTAATAAGTCTTATGACTTTGTCAGTGTTTTCTTTGGTAGGTACAAAATTGACAGTTAATTGGAGAGTGTTTATTTTTTTTCTGTTACTGATTTTATAATACATTAAATCTTCAATTTGAAAGTGTTTAGTTTTTCTTTTTTGAATTTATCTATGCATACAAGACCTGGGGCACAGGCCAGAAATGTGGGGGGTGAGAGGATCCACCAAAGACGGAGTGGGGAACAGAACAGGCAGATTGACTGAAATACACTGCTGAGGGGAGCAGCAGGCAAAACAGGAGAGGTCTGCTGCACCATGTGGGCTGCTCCCTGGACGGCTGGGGATCCAACTCATGTTGCAGAGGCTGCGGATTGCTTCATAGTGCGGTGCTTAACCCCTTGCACCACCAGGGAGGCCCGTGTTAGTTTTTCTTTTATATATATATATATATTTATTTATATTTATTTTAAAATAAATATATAAGTCCTTAAAGCAGTGAATTTATACACATGTTCAAGAATGAGCAATTTATGCTTGATGTTTTCTCCTCTCAGGTTATTCTCCGTAAAATTTCCCACCACCAATTCATCCGTACACCATCACCATAGTCTTTTGTGCTCTTCCCTCCCCTGATTTGATCACTCTACCTCCTTCTCCCTTGCAGAATGTCTCTGATATATGGTTTCCTGCTCATTTTTTAAAATTTATTATTATTGTTAGAAAATGTTTAGTTTTTCCACATTTCTTGTGGTATTTTTATTTTACTATGGAATAAAACTAGTATAAAAATATGGGCATGGGTGCCTCCCTGGTGGCACAAGGGGTTAAGACACAGCCACTGCAGCACGAGTTCAATCCCTGGCCAGGGAGGTGATCCACATGGCACAACAGACCTCTCCTATCTCACCCGCCGCTCCCCTCAGCAGTGTATTTTAGTCAATCTGCCTGTCCTGCTCCCCACTCTGTCTCTGGTGAATCTTCTCACTCCCCACATCTCTGGCCTACACCCCAGCTCTTGTATGCATAAATAAATGAATCTTTAAAAAAATAATATGGGCATCATTAAGAACAAGAGTTAAACAACTGAACAATATAACTTTCAAATTGTTAAGCAGTTACCTTAAAATTTTCAGAGGGAAAAACTTAAGATTTCTAAGTTATATGTAGGTTTTATTTGTTATTTTCTTCTGTAGCCCAGCAACTTAAATAATTAGAAATCTGCTAGAAAATAGAAAACAAGCAAACATTGTTTTATTAAATAGTGAATTTATTTAGTTCTGCTGCTAAGAAAGTTGACAGAAAAATATTTTATATCATAAAAGACAGCTATTTTGAATAACAAACTAATATTAAGTGTGTAGTGTCAAAAAATTCATTATCTTATACAGGACAAAATGTTAACCTCAAACACCTGCAGATCCCAGAGAGATCCTGTGGCACATCTGGCCTCTAGCCAGATGTGGCTATTTTATTTCATTTCAGTTAACTTAAATTACAAGTTTTATTTGTCAGTTGTGTAAATCACATGTTAAATGTTCAGTAATTATCTGAGACTAGAGTTATACTGGGTAGCACTACTCCAGAATTTCTTGTCTTATAAGTTGTAGTCATCTAAAAAAAAGCTTATTGAGTTAAAAAATGGCACAGTTAATATGTTAATCTCTATGCAATGTTTGAGGGTACTCTCAACAATAAATATATGAAAACATTTTCCCCCTAAAGTCCTTAAAGTAGTGAATTTATACACATGGCAAATAGTAGGCATCTAGTATTTGTTGAATAAGAATATGTCATTGATTTAAGTCATATGAGAAATTTTTAAAAATGTAAATGTTATAAATTATTACTAGTAGTACTGTGTTTATTCTTTTATAGAATATAAAGAGTGCAATATTGTGACATTTAAAATATAAAGATATTAATACAGTTTCTTCCATGTAAGAAATCATCTGTGCAAGTATTGTCCTGGTGCTATGTCCCACCCTGTCTTTTTTTGACAGCAGAAGCATGGGGCAGTTTGAGAGGGTTTGGTTATCCTCCATTGTTATCTTCTTATCCTTGGATTGTCTTTTCACTCACAGATATATGTAAACATTTTAAATGTTTTATTCATAAGATCTTTCAGGAAGATGACATGTATAATTTGACTACCAACTACTGAAGTAATACTTATAAGTTAGCAGCTGACATTGAGTTAATGCTTACTTTGTACCAGGCACTCTCTCATGCAATTTGCATTTTCTAACTTACTCCTCACAACAGCCTTACACAATAGATACCATTATTCCCATACACAGATGAGGGAACTGAAGCAAAGAAAGAGTAAGAAATTTACTTGTGAGCTGGTTCTTTGAAAAAATCAATAAAATAGACAAACCCCTAGCCAGGCTCACAAAGGAAAAAAGGGAGAAAGCACAAATAAACAGAATCATCAATGAAAGAGGAGAAATCACAACGGACTCAGCAGAAATCAAAAGAATAATCAGTAACTACTATGAACAGTTATATGGAAACAAGTTTAACAATCTAGAGGAGATGGACAAATTCCTACAACTCTACAATCACCCAAAGCTAGATAAAGAAGAAATAGAACACCTAAACAGACCAATTACAATTAGCGAAATTGAAATGGTAATTAAAAACCTTCCCAAAAACAAAAGCCCAGGACCTGATGGATTTACAAATGAATTCTACCAAACATTCAGAGATGAATTAGTGCCTATCCTTCACAAACTCTTCCAAAAAATTGAGAAGGAAGGGACAATACCAAACACGTTCTATGAAGCCAACATTACACTAATACCAAAACCGAACAAGGACAACACAAAAAAGGAAAACTACAGGCCAATCTCCCTAATGAACACTGATGCAAAAATCCTCAATAAAATTTTAGCCATCAGAATCCAACAATGTATCCATAAGATAATTCACCACGACCAAGTAGGATTCATTCCAGGGGCACAAGGATGGTTTAACATCCGAAAATCAATCAACGTTATCCAACACATCAACAAAAAGAAATATAAAAACCATATGATAATATCAATAGATGCTGAGAAAGCTTTCGACAAAGTGCAACACCCATTCATGATAAAAGCCCTTGAAATTCTTGGGATACAAGGAACATACCTCAACATCATAAAGGCCATCTATGACAAGCCAACAGCCAGTATCATTCTCAATGGTGAAAAGCTGAAAGCAATTCCATTAAGATCTGGAACAAGACAAGGATGTCCACTCTCACCACTGCTTTTCAATATAATACTAGAAGTCCTAGCCAGGGCAATAAGACAAGAGAAAGACATCCAAGGAATCCAAATAGGAAAAGAAGAAGTCAAACTATCACTATTTGCAGACGATATGATATTATACATAGAGAACCCCAAAAACTCCACAGAAAAGCTAATTCAACTCATCAATCAGTTCAGTAAAGTGGCAGGATACAAAATCAACACGCAAAAGTCAGTAGCCTTCCTATACACAAACAATAAATCTGAAGAAGAAGAAATCAAAAAAACCATCCCTTTTGTTATTGAAACAAAAAAATCAAATATTTGGGAATCAATCTAACAAAAGAGGTAAAGGACCTATACAAAGAAAACTATAAAACACTGTTAAAAGAAATAGAAGAAGACACAAAGAAATGGAGAGACATCCCCTGCTCGTGGATTGGAAGAATAAACATTATTAAAATGGCCATCCTTCCAAAAGCAATATACAGATTCAACGCTATTCCAATCAAAATTTCAATGTCATTCTTCAAAGAAATAGAACAATTATTGATGAAATTCATATGGAATCACAAAAACCCCGAATAGCCAAAGCTCTCCTGAAAAAAAAGAAGGGAATGGAGGCATTACACTCCCAGACTTCAAACTCTACTACAAAGCCATAATCATCAAAACTGCATGGTATTGGAACAAGAACAGACATACAGACCAATGGAATCGAATAGAAAATCCAGAAATAAACCCACAGATTTATGGTCAACTAATCTTTGACAAAGGAGCAAAGACTATGCATTGGAGCAAAGAAAGTTTGTTCAATAAATGGTGCTGGGAAAACTGGGTCGCTACATGCAAAAGAATGAAGCTTGACCACTACCTCACACCATACACAAAAATCAACTCAAAATGGATTAAAGAACTAGACATAAGACCTGAAACCATAAAATATATAGAAGGAAATATAGGCGAAACACTACGTGATTTGCACATCAAAGACATCTTTACAAACACATCACCCAAAGCAGTGATAGTGAAGGCAAAGATAAACAGCTGGGACTACATCAAATTAAAGAGCTTCTGCACAGCAAAAGAGACAATAACAAAAACAAAGAGAAACCCCACCAACTGGGAGAACATTTTTGCACCCAACACTAATGATAAAGGACTGATCACAAAAATCTGCAAAGAGCTGATGAGACTCAACAACAACAAAGAAAATAATCCAGTCAAAAAATGGGCAGAAGAGCTAAAAAGAAACTTCTCTCAAGAGGAAATGCAAATGGCCAACAGGCATATGAAAAAATGTTCAACATCACTTGTCATCAGGGAAATGCAAATCAAAACTACCATGAGATACCATCTTACACCAGTGAGAATGGCACATATTAAAAAAAACTAGCAACAACAAATGTTGGCGAGGGTGTGGAGAAAAAGGAACTCTTCTGCACTGTTGGTGGGAGTGCAAACTGGTCCAACCACTGTGGAAAGCTGTGTGGAGATTTCTGGACCTACTAAACATAGAGCTTCCATATGATCCAGCAATTCCACTCCTAGGTATTTACCCAAAGGACACAGAAACATCAATTCCAAAGAACACCTGCACCCCTATGTTTATAGCAGCACTGTTTACAATAGCTAAGCTTTGGAAACAACCCAAATGCCCAAAAATAGATGACTGGATCAAGAAGATGTGGTCCATATATACCATGGAATATTACTCAGCATTCAAAAAAGATAAACACATGCAATTTGC